GGGATTTAGTATTAAAAATAAAGGGTATTTTATAAATTTTATTTTTTTCTTTTATGATAAATTTTATTAAAATATTATTTATTTTTATTCCTAAACCCCAAAATAATGTCATTTTGAGGTTGCACGATATAACTTTATCTCTTATGATTCAATACATTAAGTTAGGAATAAATAGGGGTGTAAATGAGCAGAAGCTTGTCAAGGGCCTGAGGCTTGGCTTGCTTTAAGCTTGTCTTGGTCTGACTTGTTTAATAAATGACTTATTCAGTTATTCTGCTATTGGTAAGCCATTTATTTTCATTGAGTGACTAGTAGTAATTAGGGTTGGCAAAAACAAGCCAATCCATCGGGTTGGCTCGTAACCCGTCAAAAATGAGCCGGGTTGGGTTGGCAAAAATGAGCTGCCAACCCGACCCGAGCTAGCTCGGGAAAAAATGAGCCAACCTGCGGGTCAAACGAGCCAGCTCACGGGTTGAGTTTTTTTAAAAAAAAAAAATATATAATATACAAAAATGGACAAAACCCACACATGTTGTCTTCGTCTTTCTACCTTCTGTAAACCTAAGTCCCTAATCTTCTCATATCCCTGGCATTTTTATATTGTTAGGCTATGCTGACTCTGTTTGGTTCAAATATCTTACCCACTTGGTAGCAAGTTGTTCTGATTGTTTCTTGATGTTGTGCAAATTTGTTATGAAAAAAATTCGAAACTAGAATATTTTGCTTTTATTTCTCATTTTGTAACCCTTTGTTTTAGCTGATAAAAGCCACATAGTTGGTGCATTAATACTACAGGTTCATTTGAATAGGTTGAAAACGAGCCAACCCGCGAGCAATTTTTGAGCCAACTCGCGAGCTATTTTTTTAAACCAACCTATGAGCCATATTTTTGAGCCAACCCGCGAGCCAATCCTAACTCGACTCGGGTCGGGTTAGGTTGGATTTTCTGACTCGATTTTTTTGTGAGCCAACCCTAACCCGGCTCGTTTTTTCGAGTTGCATGCGGGTTGGGCCGGGTCGAGCCGGGTTGGCCCGTTTTGCTAACCCTAAATTAGTAATAAATAACGTTTTTTCTGTAAAGTTACATGACATTATGAAAAAAAATCATGATTTACTATGTTTTTGGTTAAGTGGTCACTTCTTTTCGGTGAACACTAATAATTACGTATAAAGTTTTATATTAAATTAATGAAGTGAACAAGAATTTAGCGAATGATTATTGTTTGCTATTCAGTTGTTTGTTGTTTTCATTGAGAAACATAAAAAGAAAACTTTATAATTATTACATGTATATGAGCGGTTATTTTTTAAATAATTACTGTTATTTGTTTTCCCCTCTAAATAAGGTTTATGTGTTTTTTATAATTTCTTTGTTGCAGCCATTGATATTGTTTTTCTAATAATAATATTTTAACTTTCATGCTTAATATAATAAGGAGAATGTTATATTTATAAACTTTTTGTTTATAAATTTTTACAAACTACACTAGGTATGACCGGTCATACTTCAATCAAGAGTGTATAACCAATCATACTTAATGTAATTTGTAAAAAAAAATTGTAACCAAATCATTCCCCATATTATAATACATTAAAATCAAATTCTTCATAATATCTCATTTACTTTAAATTACATGGATCCAAAGTTATGGTGGTTGCTAGGGATGGGCATGGGTCGACTCGAACCGAATATTTTGGAGAACCGAACCAAACCGGTTTAAAATCGGTTCGATTCTTTGAACCGATTTTTTTTTTAAAATGAAACTGGTTCGGTTCGGGTCAAAACCAGTTCGGCCCGAACCACTTATGAACTGGTTTCAAACCGGTTTCGAACTAGAACCACTTCCGAACCGATTTCGAACCAATTCCGAACCGGTTCTGAACCGGTTTTAAAGAAGATTTTTTTTTTAAATAGCATTTAATGCTGCTATTTCTTCTATGTTCTGAACCGGTCTATGTAACGTTCAGGTAAGAGAATACTATGTCATTATTACTTGTAAAATTTTATCCGCAAATCTTTGAAACATTTCAATTAACAACAATACAGAATGGCTTGTAAGTGACTGTAAACATCCATTAACAAAGTCTATTAGCTATGAGCCAAACCATGGGACGTATTTGAAAACTCAAGTGAAATTATAAGTAGTCAACTAGTTTTAATTAAAGATTTACGATTAGTAAATAACATACAATTGCTATCTATCAACATCTTTGCTGTATAACAGCATAGGATACAAATGATGACACTGGAACTAATTATCTGATCTATTTGTTTCTGTTTCTTGATCAGTACTGTCCACTTTGGACCACCTGTTAATCCGATTACGAGCTATGGTAACCTGCAAAGAATGATTTCATCATGTTTAACCTATAATAAAGGAATGTAGTAATTAGAACCAATCCGAAGAAGGGTAAATAAATCAAATACCTGCTTGTCCCAATTACCTGATTTCATCATTTTGTTAAGAAAATGAAATCAGCTTCAATGATCTGGCTTCTACTTACAGTTTCAATCAAAAATAAAATGAAATCAACTTCAATGAACTAAATTTTATTTGCTAGACTAGATTCTACATTGGCTAATTTTAAAAACATACAATGCAAATGATATGAAAGATCAACAATTCCACGGTTCTTCAATTTCTAGAAACTCAGATTGCATCGTAATTCTTCACCAATAGCCAAGCAACAAGAGATACAAGACTGATAATCACCAGCTTTTAAGATAATTGTACAATCAACAGTTGAAAGATGAACAGTGAGATAAGCAAGTTATAGAAAGGACAAGAAGAATCATTCAAATCACATCATCAATGGTTTCAAGCCTTTCAGATTATTAAAATAAACAATATTTGATCTCACCTGATTAATATCAACAATATCTCCATAAGTTCCAAGTCAAAGTGAGAGGTATCACATTAAAATTAAATTGTAGAAAATAAAAGGCACCAGCAGATTTTTTCCCAGCACTGGTAAATTCCAACCAAATCTCATCATTTCTTGTAACTTCACAATGCTGGATAAATAGGAATTAAATGGTCAAAAGGAATAGAGAACATTACATACCCTGATTCTTCTAGTTTGTCTCTGTAGGTGGTGTTTTCATGCTTCTACCCCAGTCACTGGTGAAAACAAACTCTCTCTATACATAACTGATAAACATAAAATTGAAGCCAGCCAATAAGGATCCCACCATAGCAACATAAAAAAAATAACATGGAAGAAGGCACTAAGCCAGCCATATGGGAGGTATTATAATTCATAAAGCAAAAGCTTCATAAGCAGAAAATCAGACTGAAAAAGCAGTGACTTTTACAATCCACCAATTACACCAACATATATACCATAGAAGCTTAACAAAATCATCAAAATAGAAATTGAAAGTACAATTGATTTTTGAAACACAATTCAACTGAAAATAAACAATGGTCAATCAATATCAAGAGCAACTGAGGTCGAACAGGTAGCATCTTGTTGGGAAACCATCTCTGCAAAAAAAAAAAAAATTCTGATTAATTATTAAATCACAATATAATAAAAACATCTTAATTAATTTTATTATCTTACCCTCCTCAATTTTCTCAAGCTCCTTAAGGTCTTCATTTGAAAGCTCCAAAAAAGGTGTTCGTTTTACCTAATCTTGTGTGCAGACAAGCGCTTCCACTGTTTTAGCTGTTAATCTACTACGGTAAGGATCAAGTACCCTTCCTCCAGTGCTAAATGCTGACTCAGAGGCTACAGTAGAGACAGGTATAGCTAACACCTCTCTAGCAATGCTTGCAAGTATTGGAAATCGACTTGAATTTGCTTTCCACCAAGTTAAGATATCAAAATCTGAATAGTTCTCTATAGCTTCATCCTGGTACTTATTTAATTCAGATTTAGCATTTGATTTTTGCCCAGTTGTTTGCTGAAAATGATTAACAAAATCATCATCATCATCATCATCGAACTGTGTTTCCTGTGAATTATCTTGAGACACCCCTTCCTTGCCAATATATTCTTCAAAAATGGACTTCAAACACCTCTCTAACTTCTCTCTCAAGCCAGCTGCCTCACCACTATTAAAACTATCTTTAATAGACCAATGTAAGAAACTCATTTTGCACCTAGGATCCAGTACAACTGCAATCAGCAACTCAGGATTTCCCCAATACTTATCATATTTTTTCTTCATCCTTTGAGCCATCTCACTTACACTTGAATCATTAGACTCGCACATCTGTCGAATCTTCTTTCCAATTTTGAATACCTCTATCATATATCTATTACTGGTAACATAAGAAGTACCAGAAACAGACAAAGTAACTCGATAGAAGATCTTTAAAAATGGCAAAACTAACCGAGCATAGTACCAGTCTTCATATGTAGGCACACCCTTGCCTTTTTCTAACTCATGATAATAATTCTTATCTTGCAATTCAAGCTGCTCAAATGCCCTTTCGTGCTTCAAAGCTGCCTCTAACATAAGATAAGTTGAATTCCATCTAGTTTCAACATCTAAACTAGGTGCACCCTTGTATTCAATCTTTTGCTTTTCTGCACACGCCTTGAATTTTTCAAACCTGGATGGAGAAGATCTAATGTATTTAACTGCAGCACGGATTCTCAAAATGGAATCGTCCATATCTTTCAATCCATCCTTCACTATTAGGTTCAAAATATGTGCAAAACACCTCATGTGAATATGATCTCCCTTCAAAACTAAGTTGCTCTGAAGCATTAAACTCTTCTTTAGGTTTTGAACCCCAGTATCATTCGATGAAGCATTGTCAACTGTCAAACTAAACACACGATTCAACCCCCAGTCATTCAAGCATGACAAAACAGTTTTAGCCATAACTTCTCCAGAATGACTTTTGACTTGGCAAAAGTTTAAAAATCTTCTTGTGCAGCTTCCAATTTTTATCAACAAAGTGTGCAGTCAAACACATATAACACATATTTTGACACGATGTCCAAGTGTCTGTGGTGAGGCAAACTCTTGTACAATGCATAGCAAGAAACTTCTTCAACTTCACTTTTTCTACTTGATATAATGTCAAAGCATCACGTGCCATTGTAGTTCGTGAGGTAAGATTAAATTTCGGACTTACAATACTGATAAACCACCGAAAGTCTTCATTCTCAATAAATCAAAAAGGAAGCTCGGTAGCCACTAACATTTTCACAAGTGCATCCCGGCAAACTTGTTGGTCAAATCTAGCAACCGTCGAAGGGGAAGAACCAGCATGTCCTTCTGTAGCTCCAATTGAGGATAAAGATGATTTTCTCCTTTTGTTTTTATCTCTATCTAGATGATCCTTACACCTCTTCAAATGAGTTCGCATAGAACTCGTTCCCTTATCACACTTGATCGTACAACCACAATAATTGCAATGGGCTTTTTTATCTGAGTTAGGCTCCGAGAAGTGGTCCCAAACTTCTGATCGATTTTTGCGGTTATTAAATCGAGGCGGTAACGAGCTATTAGAATTAGAGACAACTTGTGGAGTAGAAACTAGATGCTCTGTTGTCTCTGAGGTAAAAAATTCATCTTGAATACCTATTGATTACATCCTGGTGTTTCCCCTGAAAAAGAGATTGTCTAGTAAATTGGGCAAAAGACAAAAGACATATATGATGATATATTTCAGCTATTTGGAAAATAATTAAGAGCTTAAGTTAATACATGGCTTTTTTATCCGACCGTTGAAGATTATTTCAATGCAAATCAGTTTTAACTTTTTTTCTCATATTTCATGTTAGTTGTATAACAACCAATAACAAAAGATAATGATTTACATTATTTTCTAAGCTTGTTTTCTCTAAAGGGTGCTATATTTATAGTGAACTAGTTCAGTTGAAAAGGCTGCACTCCACTAGTGACTAGTGAGCAACTCATCTATCAAGATTTTAAGCAACTTTGATAAGTTGTTACCCACAAAAATCTGTCTAGCATCCTTTACAGATTTGTTTCAGCACAAAAACTAAATTGTTTGCTCTTATTTTTTTGAAAAATTAACTCAAATCCCTTCAACCAATTTATGGCTTCCAATGTGGTCATTTCACTAGCAATACTACTTTTATCAGTGCTAATTCTAGCAGTAAGTTCAGATGCTAGTGGGATTGCTATTTATTGGGGTCAAAATGGAAATGAGAGTCTATAGATGGAAGTTATCCAGTGTAGGGTGTGCAATGGCATAAAGCATTCAAAGATATTTAAGGTAGCTAGAAAGCTAGCTACCTGTGTTCATTGAGCTAGCTAGAAAGATTTATATCATCACCATCAGTATGCAAAGTAAATAGTCAAAATCACTAAGTCATAGTTGAAAATGCAATATACATCTCCAAAGGAAAACAAGCAAAGAACAAAAATAGTTGATAAAATGGCAATAAAAGTGACCATAAATAACAATTAAACAGAAATTAAATAATGAATCCCACATTTACCAACCGTCAAAATAATAGTAAACAGAAGCATGAAAAAACTGGCAACTTTACAGGGATAACATCTCTGCCTTAAGCTCTAAGAAGAAAAGGTTAACATGTATTTCAACTATACACACTAAACTTATTTCTCCACTTCCGTCTTGTTTAAAATAGTAGAAACTCTACTGATGCCTAAATTTTTTTCCATTCCAAGTATATGTACCACTATCACAAACAAGAACATGTGCCGCAAGTATATATTTATCCAAACTGAAGAAAGTAGAAGTATACTTACTACGTCTGCAATCACATGATCAAGAGAAGGAACATAACCATGCAATCCATCACTCCCTCCATGCCCTGTAAAATAAAACAATTAACTCCAAACCTTTTACAAAAATATAAGTAACCCCCCTCTTGTTACATACAGGTTGAAAATGATATAACCATGCCTATTACCGTATAATCCAATAACAAGAATTTAACTCCTATTAAGTTTATAAAAGAAATATCCTGTATCAATGAGGATCTCAAGATTTATAAAATGAGAAAAAGAGCACTGAGTCAGAGGTGGGGGGCGCAAAACCATAAATCTTATCATCTTATATACACAATCAGTAAGAAAGATTTAAATATATTGACATTACACAATCAGTAAGCTAGCATGGGCTCAAGGTACCTTCAACCACAGCTTGATTTGTTTTCTTAATAGTGATCCATTTAAGAGTTAGTTCTCCTACCTTGTCGAAAATGGGAAACTCAGCTTTGAACCCTACTGTGCCCCAAACTGATTGGTTCCTGGCTATCTCTTCATTGGTTCCTGGCTCCTGTGCCCCAAACTAATTGCATGGAAATGCCAGAATTTCAAGTCCTGCATAAAGAAGATCGCATTTTAAAAAAGGGGTTAATAGCCATTTAAAGTATCCAAAGAAAATAGCCACCGCGCAAAGACCTTAAAGGGGTTCATGGTTGATGATACATAGGAAAACACATAAGTGAAACAAAACAAAAAACAAAAATAAAAATCTGAAGAGAAATGAAAAATGATTGAGAACGCTAAGCCACAAGCCACCACCGTTACCAATTCGATGAGAACGAGCAGCGAGATTGAGAAATGATTGAGACGGTGAACTTAGGGTTCATGAGCTGAGCAAAAATATGCTTCGATTAGGAACGAGATCGATGAGTCATTGAGTTATGTTATGTAAATGGGTTGGTTTGGTTCGACCTGCTTAAAATCCAGTTTTGAAATGGGTCTGAATTGAATTGTTTTGAATAATAGAACCGGTTCAACTTTCCGAACCAATTTTAAAAAACCCGGTTATTTTGGTTCAGTTTGGTGTGGTTCTTGATGTGGTTCAGTTATTTTGGATTTTTTGTACATCCCTAGTGGTTGCCATGGATTTCTTATGGTGACGTGCTACAATATCTTCCCCTAAAGCCTTTAATTTTGGAACTTAACTGTTGAATCCACCATTCACATTAGTTTTTGCCCCATCCACTATACCAAATAAAAGATTAATTGGCCCAGTAGGCTCTGAAAAAGAACCTCGAAATGCAGTTATGTCTTAAATGTTGATTGTTGACCATCTTTTCAGATTTCATAATAGTCTTAAGAGCACTTTATGGGAATCATGGATACATCATTTTTTTGGTCAAACATGAGAAGACTGCAAATCAGCAAGTCATTGTTTTCTGAATGAACAAGGGAAAAAAAAAGATTTGACCGGAAAAAGAAAAGGAAAAATAAAAGGCTATCCGAAGGATAGTACAATACTGAACCAGTCACCCAATTATTTTGAAGGAAATTTATGATGATTTACAGTTCAAGACATCCTCCAAGTTGACGCCTCTTTCTTCTTATGCTGCTTTCGCTTGCTGTCAAGAGAACAAAAAGAAAAATTTGTCAATTTTATTTGTGTATTGCTATATTGCCTAATGCATTTTGAAGACCAAGGCAAGCTAGGGTGCTGTTACATCCACAACAATCTATATCAATTTCGCACACTTCCTTATCTTTACTTGGTTCACAAGTTATGTATCCTTAACTCAATCTACACTACCTTTGACAGTCATACATATCTCAATATACACTGTCAAAATGGTAAGAGTAAGGTATATAGGTAATAGAGTATAAAGCATGCAAAATAGGCATCAATGCCCTTCCATCATACATGTATATAATCCATGATTACACAATGTCCAATTACATCAAATGGCCCAATTACACATATTGAGACTTAGCTACACGAAATACTATGATCAAGGTCTTAGCCCCATCCGACAACATTTGGATACCAAAAGAGAGTGATCATAGGCTAAGTCCACCAAAACAAATCAAGATATATCAAATAAGCTACACAATGTAAATCCTATACATGTTCATATTACATATACATAGGATGCTCCCAAAACATATCAAAATATGGCATCATCATGCAATCTACTATGGCCTCCTGCTAACAGATGTTCGAGCACCATCAGTACTTGAAAGGGGGTCCCCACAACACGGGGTGAGATAAACATCTCAGTAAACTAGTGGTCTTAGGAGGACTTCTTCACCCCAAAATTCACTTCAGGCAATAAGCAATAAACAACATAATCATGAGTGTATGTATGCATGCAAAGTGTGCAACTAACTATCTAATATTCCTGCTAGTGCCTTGCACCGTCCTCGGAATACAAATGATAGTGTCCTAGCCATCCTTCGAAGTAAACATACCTTAAACAGGATGCTTAAGACAAAAATCCTAAGGCCAGAGAACCGTGTATGAATTACGCAACCGTGCAACATACTGTATGAATCATACAAGGATCCCCCTTGCCACATACCTGTGTGAGAATCTCTCTTACACCACACACAAGCATCACACAATATGCATTATATTCAATCTATTGCAAAATCATATAAACCAAAACCCACACGGGCTTGGTGGAACAGTCAAAGGATAAATCTCAAGGTTCGAAAGCTTACCTCACACGCTTCCTACCAATTAGTTTCTCCGTATCAAAGAAACCTTAACCAACAAGCTTGATCCAACCAACAACAATCAATACTTTCCAAAATATCCACCAAACCAATAAGGTGAATCTGCAACCAATAAAACAACAACATCAATAGCAACATATGAATATAAAGCCACGTTCACATCAACCTAAGCAATTCCCACAACTTAAGAACTCACCTACACTTGAGTTATTCAAGATCCCAAGTTTAATTCCATTGATTCATCCATTGGTTGAGTTCCAACACTTTGTCCACTTGTCTCAATCCTAGAAACAATGAACACAATCAATATCCAAGCATCCAACCTTACTTGAAACACAAGTAATCACAATGCCTATACATGAAATTTCGAAAATCACGTGGTGTATCAAAACGATGATTTAAACACATTTTCACTGATTAAATCACACCCTTAGCATATTTCCAACCATACGCTAAGCCTCAATCATACTCCAACATGACCAGTCAACCCACATTTCCATAAAATTCCTAACTTTTCATTTCTACATAAAACACAAAGAGGTTAGGAATGCTTACCATAAATCAACCCACAATAGCTCAAGGAATGTATTCCAACTCCCAATGAGACAATGCACCACCTCAAGCTCCTTGCAATCCCCCAAAATTGCCACTTTCTTCAAGGTTTTCCTCACTACTCAAGGCTCCTTTTGTGGATTCTAAGTTTAGGGTTAAGTTCACACAAGTTTTCTAAGCAACTTTGCTTCCAACCATTCTTGATTTCATCAAGCAATAAGGAACTTAGATTTTCAAGGTCATTAAATCCCTCAACAATGGCTTCCCTGTGTTTCTTTTTCTCTTTCCTGAAGAATGGCTCAGTTTCCATCTAATTAAACCAACTCTCACAACTGCTCGCTGTACACCTTGCTCTAGCGAGCTCCACCAGTGAGTAATTACAACACTCGCTGGACAGCTTTCTTGAGCGAGTTCTCCAGCGAGGAGTGTCCGATAGGGCTTTTTAACTTAAAAGCCTAATTTCCCACTTGAGCCCATTTACTTATTTAAAAGGGTATTTTCTACTTAAACACATTCATATTGATTGAACTACGTGTTCCACTCATTTTATCTATAATGTGCTTAGTTAATATTTAATCTAATTTAATTAAGCCTCTCACTTAATTAATCTCATTATGCATGATTAATTAAGTAGTCCAATATAATAAGACATTTCACAAATTAAGGTTATTATACTACTCTATGTACTCCGGTGGGCCAAAGGGATTGTGCACCTACAAAGTACTCAAACACATAAGTCAATATCGATCATAGTTATAGAGTGCAAGGTATAACATTTACCTTGTTGGTTTTGTATGAATTTAAGAGAGGGTGAATTTAGTTATATAAATTTTGCAATTTAAATCGATGTCAATTTTTCAATAATAATTTTGACTAATAAAAAAAATAGCAAAGAGATAACACAAGTAATTATGTGGGAAAAACTCCAAAAGGAGAGAAAAAAATCCATGACCTCAATTCGGATAAAAAAATCCATGACCTTGTAGGATTCCCTCACCATTGAGTTCACTTCCTACATGAAGGGTTAATACACATGGCATATCAAGCATCATACAAATAGAGGTAACAAAATTGATTTCATTTGTGCACCCAATACACTTGGACTACTCTAATGAGTAGTACCTCAAAGCTAGTGTCTGTATGGAACTTCCAAGAGTCGTACCTCTTAGGATAAATCCCCAAGTAAAGTCCATACATATGTTCAAATGGCCAAAGAACTAAACAATCAATTTAAGCATTCATCTGTATGTTAGTCTATATACTAACTATACAATCTAGCCCTTAATGCTTGTTCATTGGTCCGTACACCAATGCACAATAACTCTATATGAATGCAATTATACCATATAACTAACAATCAATCAATCATTCAACTACATAACTATAACTCCCAAAGAGCATGGTGAAACAACAAAAGGTATAAATCCCAAGGTCCAAGAGTTTACCTCTTGAATTTAAGCTTTCATAGCTTTTCCTTTAGCTCCTCAAAGTTACCACAAACTCAAGGCTACCAAAGCAATCTATTTAAATACAATGCCATCAATCATATTCATAATCATTATGAATCCATACTAGTAACAAGTAGAAATATCACCATTTAGCCAAAGATAATTTACAAAACATTGAATACTTCTTATACTTTAAAAACACGTAAGTCATTAACTTTTATTTGCAAGCTTAGGCCACTTACCTTTAGGTGATGGATAATCATATTGAAATTCTAAATCATGATGTGAGAATTTATCTAACTCCTCTAGGGTCCTTTACCCTTGAAACATAATTAATAGGACAATAGACTCCACAAGTCCCTCTACTAAAGAATAGTCAAAAGAAATGAACTATACCGTTATACTACATACTAGACAACCATTGCCATTTCTAAAATTAGGTTTACATCTATTTACCATTATTTTTAATATTTTACTATGTTTAATTAGACATCTCAAGTTTTCCAAAGACCTATTATAAACATCAATGGGATTTGTATATCTCAAGTTACGAGCATCGCAAGCCAACTGCTTCGAACCGAATTCCCAAAAATAGGGCAGAAACTTCAAAATAAAATTAAGATTAATCCATTTATCCAAAGGTCCCAATATTTTGTATATTTGTAAGTCTTTAAGTTAGCTTTACATAGATGCAAGTTTCACTCAATTTGGAGCTTTCCACCTCAAGTTATGCTCATTTTACTATAGCGGGTATATGCTTTTGTGCGTTTAAGCAGCCATCAAAGAAGCAAATGTTGCAGCTTTTGAATCAACATTACAGGCTGTCAAGGGTGAGATAAGAAATGCATCTGACTCATTGATACATTCCAACTTCATGTATAACTATAGAGCTGAACACCTGCTGAATAAACTCCTCCTCAAGCATGCTGAAGAATGAAAAGAGACCAAAGAAGCCCTCAAGGCCTTTGGAAATTGGAACGTACTTGGAGAAGAGAATTTATTAGTTGGAGATGAGGCTGTTGGATGTAGAAGGATAGATTTTCCACATTCACCATGGCAGGACAATGATGAGATCCACCATCAACTACCTCGTTGCCATAATCAGTGATCTACTGAAGGATACTGAGAAATGGCTCCCTACAGCTGAAGTAATAAGACTGAGAGATCAGCTCAAAAGGAGACCACTTACCCAAGAAGAAGTTGATGAAGCTAAGGAAGCTGAGAAAGACCCCACTTTGGACAAGAGACGTCCCCAATGAAAAGGAGAAATCCCTCCTATCTGTTTTAAGTTTTAGTTTATGTTATAGTATTTCCCTTTCCGTTCCCTTGTAAATATTAACTATTTAAAATGAAAAATCTTTCTTTGATCAAACTGCTTGGTGCATACATTTCAGTTATAGTATTGTGGCTATGAAATTTTGAATAGCAAATACCGTGAAACACAAAGTCAGTAATTAATCATTCTTATTCTTTCTCTGAGTGCTTAAAATAGGAAAAATGCAGAGAATTTAATCTTCAGATTTTTGAGGGATGCTGATCTGTATGAACTAAAGCTGGTAAGGAACGAAAAAAAGGCCAAACACATACTTATGAGAGCGTTCCTGAGGTGTAACCACAATGAAACTTCTAAACTTGCCTTGATGCTGTGAGTACTGCTGAAGAACAGATGGATTTCACTAACAAGGATCAACCAACTAAACACTTCCATTCCATCCATAGTCACCAACACATCACCAAGTCAACCAGAAGGACAACGAACAGACCCAAAAATGAACAAAAAGGACAGGAAAAGGAAAACAAAGAAAAAAAAGGGGGAACAACCATTCAAAAGAATTCAGAAGAAAATACTAGAAAACTTTCCTTCAAGGAAAGAAAAGGTACAAAAAGATAAGATGTTCCCTCAAACAGCAAAAGTCCAGTTCAAAAGCACAAATGTA